AGCGCCCTCCATCCCTTCTCCTTATGCTCCCATGCCTTCCCCCCACCATGATGGAATGAGTTCCCAAATTGTAAGCAAAATAAGCACCTCCTGCTTTGAATTGTTTCTTGTCAGTTATGTCATCTCAACACTAAGACAAATAATAAATACACTAGCCTACATCCAGACCTAGAAAGGCCTGTTCCTTCCTCCCCTGCAGCACCTTCTTGGAGACCGTAGAGTCCGTCCTCAATGGAGAAGTCACTGCTGGCTTCTGTTACCCAAAGTAAAAAGGGGGAGAATAATCCATGCCTAGAAGGGTGTCAGGGAGTCCTGTGCCTGCTGCTGTCCTGCTGTCAGGTCACCACCTCACAGGAAGCTCAGGGGCTCAGACATAGATTGTTTTTATTTGGTGACCAGCCCCATCTGTACTGAGAAATTAATTTTAGTAAAAATCACGAAGTAAATTGAATATACGTCTCATGTGAATTAAAACGCTGATTTATCGAGCTAAAACAGGACATCACTCATGGGCGTTCTTCTGTCATTTATTTCTGAGTTGCAGCTTAAACACAGGAATGTATACCAACACTGATGGTCATGACAAAAATGACAAACTCAAGCTTTCCCTAACCATTAAAACCTCCTTGTCCCATGGAGCCGATTCCACACACACGGAGCGCTGACTGCACAACTGAGCAGCCTGTGAATTCACTGCGGTGTAAACATAGAAGTTATTGAAAGACAAGTAATAAATGGTGGGTTCCAGGCCTGAGGGAGCAAGTGGGATACTAGGGAAAGGGCACAGTGTCCCTCTTGGATGAGAAAGGACTCAGAGATCTGTTATATGGGGTAGTGAATATAATTAATCAGAGACTATGTTTGCAAATTGCTAAGAAAGCAGACCTGCAATGTTCTCATCATGAAAATGACAAGTACGTATAGTATGAAATATTAATTAGCTTCAATCATTCCATAACATACAGTATAAATATATCAAAATAAAGACATCAAACATTATGTTGCATACCAAAAACATGACAATTTTCCAATTAGAATAAAGACAAATCAACATAAATGAAGTTGATTTGGGAAATGCTGTTAAACTACACACTCAGAAATGACAACCAGGTAAAAGGATCTATTGGGTAGTTTAGTGAGATTCATCTGTAATGTGTATGTCAGAATATTATAGATATAATTTTATACTATAAAGTTTGAAAACCAAATAAATTTGGAAAACACCCACATATTTGCAATTAAACTCAAAAGGAACTGATTTTTTTTTTCTACAAAGCCTCACTCTCACGCTAATGTTGGTTAGAACTACAGACACACAGGACGCTATAAGCAGACCTAGGCTCCGCTATTCCTACATTGTTTCTAAAAGTCTACACAGTACCTTGTGACTGTGTAGACGTTGGGTGAGCCCATTCCAGCAGCTACCTCTCTAGCACACTGAACAACTAAGATACCACAACAATAACCTGAGCCATCGAGTCTGACCTAGCTTTTGGCTTCATTGGGACCTCTTTAGTGGCCATGGCTCTCCACTTCCTCCTATCTCCCTCTGTCTCTCTGTCTCTCACTGTGTGTGTGTCTCTTTGTCTCTGTCTCTGCCTTTCTCTCTCTCTCTCTCTCTCTCACACACACACACACACTAGCTAGATGAGACATGGCTAGCTAGACTGCTGGTAACCTTTTACTTACCACATCTGTTTCCAAAGTGATTGACATCTCTTCATTTTAATAAACTGTCACATTTCCACAGCAAAGACACACTCTAACATGGTTGGACTCTCTCTAGATCCCTGTGCCTTCAACCAGCCTCCACACAGAAACACAGGATCTTGAAGTGTAGCAGACTGAACCAATACACTCAGGATTGGTACCCTTTGATGTTAATTGCTCACTACTTTTAAATATAAAGACGAATTTAGGGTCTCAATTACACAGCCCACTTTTACAGAGCCCCATGCATACAAGAGAAGCAGAGAAAAAAGTAACATTCTGAAATGCCATTGCCAGTGACACAATCAGCAACACTTGGGTTTTCATGGAAACAGAATTCTGTACTTTTCAATATAAAGTATTAAATATAATTTGTCTGAATTCAATGAAAAAAATAAACAGAAGTGGAATCTTTGAGATCACTTAACCTCCACGTAAATGTTTCTTCCTTCCATGAGATGTTTTCCAACCAAAGTCCCCTCTAAATTAAGGAAAGCTGCTGAATAAAACATTGTGTGTAAGGAGTCATTATCTCTGATTAAACGCACAATATGATTTTCCACAGTGCCAGCCAATTACCTGCAAAGACAGATAAATGCTCTAGCAAGTTCATCCTTCCTATTTGCATTAATAGCCTGTAACCATAACTCCCAATGCCATCTGGCATTTCTTTCCTAAGTAGGTATATGCAAGGCTCAGAGCACCGACGTGGAGCCTTCATCTCCATGTTCCTTATTTGTCCTCATCTCTGACTTTTGTCGCTGGTAATTTGCTGCCAGAGGCTGCGCACAGTGGGTCAGTCTCACAGTCCCCTTTGCATCTGGAAGCAGGATCAGCACTGCTACAGTTCAACGTGTGTGGTGGAGCAGGCACTCCTACTGACAAAGACCTCCCACTTGGGGCAATGTTCAAATGTGACTCTCTTGAAATTCTCTCTCTCTCTTTTTAACCAAGAGCATCTTGTTCTGATTTTGCTTTGGGTCCCACAAACTACGGAGCTACTTTTGGTTGGAAGACGTTTGGACACAGTAGATCTCCATCACGCTTCCTCCATCAGGACACAGCCCTAATACCTTCTCAAATTCAGCTTCACCGAGACCAGCCGGAGGTCGGCCGGTGCCCCTCCCTGTTTGCCATTTGAGATTGCCGTTGGATGCCTGCAGTAAGCTGCTGCTATCACTGAAATGCAACCACTTCACCAGAATACATCTGTGTCCAGCGTTCTCTGCCACGGGTTTTGAGACCAGATATATTCCTACTTCAATCTGCAGATGTAGTTCAGACAATTATGCTTCTGTAACATATTTAGGAGCTTTTTTTTAATAAAGGAAAGAGGCTGACCGGTCTCCATCTGTTCTTTATTAAGCAGTATTCTTCCCTTGGACCTCAAATCTCCATCCTCAGGAGCTCAAAGCTCTTCCTCCAGAGCAAGCAATGAGATGCCCTAGAAAAGCAGAATAGAAGAAGCCTGACCCCGAGTCCAGTTAATTTATGGTGGAATTCCTTGAAAAGGCTATACATTACTTCTCTGGCTATGCGTTGCTGGTGGCTTCCCGCCATTCCTAATCTTTTGGCCCCGCAATCCCCATCTGTCTTTGCAAGGCTCACATCACACATGGAACCAATTTCTGCTCCAAATCCCCCACCACTCCTGTTTTAAATAATTAAAGTGGGTTCTTCTTCCTTGGCCGCCGCTTGCCTAACGCAGGCATCCGTCTCAGCACTGGCTATTTGCTTTGCACGTACTGTTTATATGTTTTAATTCCTGCGTCTTTTCTGTTTCTCAGCATATCAGCCTGTCAACTGTTCCTCACAGTTCAGTCAATTTAAATACCTACTGTTTATTGATGTATTATTCAAAGCATAAGATTAAAATAGTTCCTTCTGGGACTCCAAGCCCATTACTACACCGTGAAAGGCAGGATCTTTTCCAAGCATGAGAGGCCTGAGGCTCCAGCGGAAAGCGTGGCTTGGGTTCGTACACATCCTCTCTGTGTGGACTGTTTTTCTTTCTCTGGTTTCTCTGCCCTTCTCATCCTGTCTGCTTTTTCTTCCAAGTATGTCTCCATTTTTCTGGTTCTCTGGTTTCACACTTCATTTTCCCAGTAAAGGGCAAACATATTCTTTTTCATGGTGTATGTTTGTGCGTGTGAATGTGTTGGCATGCACACACACAGATATCCATTTCTGTGAAACGTGTAAAGTGAGTTTACAGTTTTCTGTTCCTTTGTCTGTTTTTACGCTTCTGAACTTTTCTGATTCAGAGCACTCTCTGTTAAAATCGTCAGGCTTACACCTGGGAGAAGTTGTTCTTGGATGATATTTTCTATTCATTTTTAAGTTATGACTTATAAGCTTTCTACTTTTCTCATTCAATAGTCAATAGTTCTATAAAACTGAAATTTTATCAGAAATTTTCAACTTTTCATTGCCGTTATCCCAATTCTGATTTAACTTACGATGTGAAAACTCTTCCTGAGTTCACTTCATCCATGCTTCCACATCGCTAGGGAGAAGTAGCGCATTGTCATTCAACGCTGCTATATTCATGAGAAAGGATGCTTTTACTTTGGACACATTGGTAAAACATGCTCATCTTAGGTTTCATGAAGATGCTAGACTCACGAAGGAAAAGATAATGTTCCTCCTTCATCCCCCTCTCCTTCGCAGAGGTAAGCCCATGGGGCTGCGTGCTCACGCATGGCGACGCACGCGCACAGATACAGATGCTCGTGGCTTGCTTTCTGCTTTTATGAAGAATGGATACACCCTACTCGCTGATTTTTAACTTTTCGTTTTCAGCACTAAGGCAACTGAACTCCCCTTGAGATTACTCTGCACAGATTTATTTATTCTATTTAGAAGCTGCACAGTGTTTTATTATACACATGTCATAAAACATTCAAATTTTTTATTATTGAAGGACATAAAATTTCCATTTTAAGTATTATAAACAAAATCTGTGCAAAGGTTATCCTGTGTGATTTTTAAATCTATATTACAGAAGCTAAGAACACTGCCAGGAGTCTACATTTTTCTCATTAATATTTATTACCAAATTACTTGAGTAGCAATTTAAACTTTCTCCAATGGTGTAAAATAATGACCCTTTTCACAATCCTTTTCAGCAGTGACTACCACCAATAATGCTTAATTGGTACCGATCAGGAGTGGAAATGTTATCTCAGTATTTAAATGCACATTTCTGTAACTGCTAATGATACTGACCTTTCTATTTGTAGGGCCCATCACATTTCTCTCACAAATGCTCTGCACCACATTCATCAGGCTCTTGGTTCGTGGGGTGGCCTATGGGCACTGGATATGTTTGGCACAGCGTGCATCGTCTCATTTCACTTACAGTCATGAAGAACCTACCACTGTCCAGGCTCTGCAGAGGTCTGAGGACTCCTCAACCAACGGAGCACAAGCGGAGTCAGAGGCACGAGTCAGGAACACTAAGGCAGGTCAACGTCAGACACATGGGGGACACTGCAAGTGTCAGGAAATACAGAAATAGGGAAAATTATACAGGTGGAGGCTCTCAGACAAGAAAGAAAATTGAAAATATATCCAAATGACATGCAGGTAAAAGCTGCAGGAAAATTTACAGCGTCCATACAGAGGAGGAGCAGATACTGAGGAATAGAGCAGTGCATTTGAAGAACATCAATAAATTCAGCGTGAAGCAGGAGCACAGCGAGGCAGGAAAGAGGCCAGCAGGTGAGCAGGACGACGCTGTGGGAGACAGAGTACGTGCAAAATGGCAGGGTGAAAGCCATTGCTCTATACACTAATTTTAAGAATACTAGTCCTGATTGTGAAAGCAATAAAAAGAAATACAGTGAGGCTGGTAGAGTGTCGAATGTGCGAGTGGTGGGAATGATAGGAAAGCGATGAGGGTCAGGCCACCGGCCTTCTAGGTCGTGATAAGAAGACCAGATTCTACCGTACATACAACAGGTATGTAGAAGACTGATTCGATGTCTTTGTGTTTCTTTTGACTGTGTGGGTCGAGGACACCAAGCAGCAGGTGAGATGTGAACTGAGGAGTTTAGTGAGAAGCACATGATTCATGATGACACACAAGCAGCAGCTGGACCCTGGGTTAGCTCAGGGGTAGGCTGTGTGCTCACCGTACCCAAGGGTATGGGTTTGAACCCCAGTGCCACAAAACAAAAAACAAAAAAGAAACATCTGGTCGATAAATGTTGATACAGGGTAGGGAAGGATGTCATGTGATTAAGAAGAAACTACAACCTGGAACAAGGTAAAGAACTTCCTGGGTTGGACATAGAAGGCAAGATTTTTACAGCATTCTGGGTACGTCTTGGGTTTGGAGTTTGCATAAAGCTTGTGTTAGTGACCAAAATGAGGGTCAATGATGTGAGGCAGGATGGACATCAAAAGAGCTCCCGAGCTCGCTGAGATTGGGTGCCAGCTGGTAGGTGCCCGCTGGTGGAAGGGTGGACTTGTCTCTCCGAGGAACAGCAAAGGTGGAAGTATTTAGCTGGACTCATCAAAGCATGGAACACACTTGTGCCATGGGATCCCAAGCGAGCACCGGGAGACACACAGATTGCTTGAGGAGGAGTTCTTGGGCTCTCCGAATTAGAGAAACGAAGAGGATGGGGCTGAGAAAGCCTAGTCAGTGACCTAAGAATGACAGCAGGAGAGGGCCAATAGAAAGAATGCAAACACTCAGAAAATCTCAAGTATGAAGGTGCAGCGAATTCCAGTAACTACAATATTGACCTAGATGTACCTTCTGGGTGATTGTTAACATTCTGACTAAAAGACATATCTTGCCATAATCAGAAGAAATTATTTATCAAATCCTTTTTCTTTGCAGTTCTTGAGTTCCCTAATCTGAGCGAGGAGTTCTGTCCTGACCAATGTTCCATGAACGTGTGCTAACCAATGCCAAATAAGGGGGTGAGTTTCTGCTACTTTGTTTTATTTTCATTAGATTAAATGTTCCCCACTGCTTCCGGGGGGTCCGGAGTCACCTCTTTTAGGTGGTGAGCCTGTCATGCAGGCACCAGTGTGAGCATCTTCTCACAGAATTAAAGTGTGCAACCACAGTATGAGCTACCGCGCAGTTCGCTGGAAACTCAATGTCAACAGAGCAACGGTGAGCACCAAATAAAGGGCCACTCACCAACGACAGCAGAAGAGGTGATGTACTGACCAGTTGACAATGAGAGCAGAGGCTCATGGGAGTGTAAGGCTGTGTTTCCTCCAGTCGCAGGAATGCAGTGGTTGTTAATTCAGTGATCATCCCAACTTTATAAATCATCGCTAATGTGGACAACAGTAATGGACTGTGTGTGTGGAAGGTGAGCACTTTAGGACCTTTCTTTTTTTTATAGCTTTAGTCACACAGACTAGATTAAATGTGGTTAATTACCCCCTCCCACCCCCGGCACACACACACCAACTCATAACCAAGTTGGTGCTTTAATTGCTGCAGCCAATGCTATTGTAATATGATTATCCTGCTTCCCTAAGCATGAAAGCACCTGTATTTTCAACAGTCAGCTGTGAGTGCAACTAATTCCTTGACATAACACAAGTCAAGGAGGGAATAACCAAACTAGGTTCAGGGAGAAGGAGGCTGAAATAAGAGATTAAATATAAAGAATAAGTTTATTTAAATTATTTTTCTGTATCACAATATGCTATTGTAACTGGAGATTAAAATTAAAAATTCTCTGTAGTAGCCAGACATGGCTGGATGAGTGTCTCGGGGGCTTCTACACAGGGATAATGGTGCCCAGACTATCTGCTACTTCAGACCATGTTTCCTAAGAACTGTTTTATTCACCTACACAATTTCCTAAAAAATGGTAACAAGCCTTTTGTTCTGTCTCCTCAGACTTATTCTTCATCCCATTGCCCCCACCTCCATTCCCTGGGGACTCCACCTCTTGGTGGGATCCTGGCCCCCAGGTTTTTCCCATTGTCCCTCTCTGTCTTTCCTCCTAGCTCATCTCCTTTTGTTTGCATCACCTGCCAACCCACAGAATCACTCAATACCAGGAACCCACAGCCAACACATTTGCCTAGGACCCAGAGTAGCAACGGCAACTCATCACAGACAAAACGAGATCCCCTACACCAAGAACACCTCAAACACCACAATTCCAGACTCCTACATCCCAGTGCAAAGCACAAACATGAACAGCCAAGGCAATATGCCTCCTCCAGAAGCTGGAAGTCCCACTGTGAGAGGTCCTGAGGAACGTAATTTAGCAGAAGCACAAGGCAAGGACTTCAAAGCAGCAATCATGAATATGTTCAAGGACCTTAATAAGGATATGAAAAAAATGCCTTAATGAGGACCATGAAAAGAAAAAAAAAAACAGTTGAAAGAAATAATGAAAAAAATAAAGACATGAAGGTAGAAATGAAATCACTTAAGAAAACCCAAACTGAATAAAACTAGAAATAGAACATTTGGGATGTCAAACAAAAACCTCAGAGGTTAGCCTCACCAACAGATCATAGGAGATGGAAGAGACTGTCAGGTCTTGAAGACAAAGTTCAAGAAATGGATATCTCAGTCAAAAAAATCTTAAACCTAGAAAATTAATCCAGGCACAAAACATCCAGGAAATTTGGGACTCTATGAATAATAATGATGATATTAGAGAAAGAACACAAAACCCAGGTCAAGGGCACAGATAATGTTTTAAACAAAATTACAAAAGAAAACTTCCCCAACCTAGAGAAGGAGGAGTCTATCAAGGTACAAGAAGCATGTAGACCACCAAATATACTGGACCATGAAGAAAATATCCTACAACACATAATAATCAAAACATTAAATGTACAGAACAATTAAGGATATTAAAAAGCTACAAGGAAAAAAGACCAAGTCATAAAGGCAGACCCACTAATGGAGTCTCTGAAAGCCAGAAATGCCTGGACAGATGTTATACAAACTTTGAGAGACCACAGAAGGGAGCCTAGACTCTATCCTCAGCAAAATTCTCAATCACTGACAGAGAAAGAGAAGTATTCCATGATAAGACCCAAATTCTATCAATTTCTATCTACAAGGCTAGCTCTATAGAAGGCATGAAAAGGAAAATATCGACCTGAGACATGAGGAATAAATAATATCAGTACAGAAATCGAAGTAACAACAAAATAACAGGAATCAATAAATACTCCCCAGTAAAAAGACACAGGCTAAGGGATTGCATTAGAAGCGGTATCCATCTTTCTACTGCACCCAAGAAACACGCTTCATCCTCAAAGATGGACATTACCTGGAGCAAAAAGTAAAATGTGTTCCAAGCAAATAGACCCAAGAAGCAAACAGGGGTAGATATTTTAATATTTGACCAAATACACTCCAAACCAAAACTCATCAGAAGAGATGGGGAAAGCTCCATACTCATCAAAGCAAAACTTCACCCAGAGGATTTCATAGAAGAAAGACCACTACAGCTCAGAGCCCCATACTGACCCTCAGACGGTGTTATTGGATGGCTTCAGGGCTCCAGCAACAGACAGGCCATCCAGACAAAGCTAAACCATCCACAGAACAATCCACCCGGACACTGAAGAACATACCTTCCTCTCAGCAGCTCGTGAGACTTTTCTAAGATTGGCCCTATACTAGGACACAAAACAACTCTTATCAGACATAAAAATAAATTAAAAATGACACCCCGCATTCTGTCTTACTGCCACTGACTAAACATGGATATCAACAATATGGTAAACAGCAGAATGTGTACAAACTTGTGGAAACTCAACAACTCACTACTGAATAAAAAATGGGTCAAGATGAACATCAAGAAGGGTGGAGGGCAGCCTGCAAGCCCTCCTCACCGTGCACAGAACTACAGGCAATCCAAGAATGATGAGAACGGGAGAAACCGTTTCTCCAGGGAAGGACACATGAGTTGGTTATCCAATACCAAATGGTCAGCTCTGAAAAAAATACTCAAGATAAAATGATACAGACTGGGCAGGTTATATTTTAAAATATATATGTACATATGCATATCACAAAAAGTAATTTAAAAGAAGCAACCATGAACTTGAAAGAGAGAAAAGAGGGGTATATGGAACGAGAGGTCTGGAAAAAGGGAAGAATAAAATGATGTAATTATAATCTACAATTAAAGAAAAATGGGAGAAATACACAACCCAAAATGAAACAAAAGTAACACTGAGTTTGTTTTGTCTGCAAACTCTTCCTGGTCATGGGACCTACTCAGAAGTGCAGCTACTTCGCCCAATGCCACTCCATCAGAGAGTTATCAATTGCAGATGATCTCTGCTTCTCCCTCAGCGCTGGGACCCTTTCAGCTGGAACCTGTGCAGGCGCCATGTTCCCTGCCACAGTCTCATGTGTGTATTAGCCCTGTTGTGTCTGGAGACACTGTTTCCTTGCCATCATCCACTTCTTCTGGCTCTTACAGCCTTTCTGCCTCCTCTTCTACATAGACCCCCGAGCCCTTAGGGGAGGGGTATGATGAAAACCTCTCACTCAGGGCCAGAGCACTACAAAGTGTCTCGCTCTCTGTGCATGGTCCAGCAGAGGGGCTCTGTGTCCGTTCCCGTCCACTGCACAAAGTCCTGTGGTGGCTGGGTGGGGCAGGGCGGGGCACAGCAGTGTGTCACAGAGCCTGTTAGAGTGGCAGCAGGGTCTGTGCCTAGTCTCGGGCGCTCAGCCACCCTAGCAGTGTGTGGCGTGGGTTCCGTCTCACGGAGGGGGCATGCTTTGTCTCATGCTCTTTTGCTTGATTGTTTTGATCACTGGTTTCGTGGGTGGTTTTATTTTTGTTTCTGTTGTTTTCTTTTTAAATAGAGAGAGAGAAGCAGCATAAAGTTGGGTGTGTAGAAAGTGGGGAGGATCTTGGAGGAATCGGGGAAAATTAGTGATGACTCAATTACAATCATCTCTGTAAATTTCCCTACTTACCCAGTGTATGTGGTCACGCCTCACATTGTCCACGCTCTCTCCGTGTGCCTGTTCATGTTGTGTGCTTTGAGCTGGGATCCAACCCTCGTTGTTCCAAGAGCTCCTTGACACAGGAGATAATAGGACCCGACTGCTCAAAGCTTGGCGTCCTCATCTGGAACGTGGGGATGACAATGACATCTGCTCCAAAGTCTGAAACAGTCAGCTTGCCAAGCTGGTAACGGACAATTCATTAGGTCAGTTACAAAATAAATCTGGGAGGAGAGTGGCAATCAGCAGAGAACTGAAGGACACAGACCAACGGCATGCAACAGAGTCTATGAGCCATAATACAAGAAAACACTAGTTTGGGAAACTGTTATTTCAGAGGTATGTAAATTCTAAGCAGTGACAGGCAATGAATGTCTAACACGGGATGCAGGAATGAAATAGTCTGTAAACTCCGAGATAGCATCAGTTTAAAGTGCACAGCGACCATGAAACAAATGCACTTTATGTAGACTGGCGGTGAATGCCCCCTCACCTTGCGCCTGTTGCTTTGGCCACATTCTGTCCCTGAAGAGAACTGTTTCTGTAACTATCTCCTTGGTTAACGTTCACACCACTGTGCATCCAGGGCGCTCGCGCTCTCTCTGCACATGGCAGGCCTCAGCATATTTGTTTGCATACTGCAGATGCTAAATGCATATCTTATGAATGGAGGTCTTAAGTTTGACATCTCCAATTCTGTTGATGTTTCGTTACAGAGCTTTTCCCTGGGAGACACACACATCACCCCTGCTCGCCTCACACAGTGAGCCCGCGCCAAGCCACAGTAGACACCACCACAAGTCTAATCTGGTGAGCCAATGAGTTTTATTGGCGTTACTTACAGGAGTATGGGTTGGGGCGTTGCTTACAAGAGCAGAAATGATCAGGCAGCTGTGCCACCAAGGCCAGCATGGGTGACAGCTCACGAAAGCTGGGAACCTGGAGCACACTGCACAGCCCACAGGCACCTCAGCAGGCTGAAGAGTGTCCTGTCCAGGCGACCCAGCTGGCTTAAACCCCTTCTAGGCAACTCAGCTGGTCTCTGCTTCTTCCGGGCAGCTGGTCTGGTCTCGAGAGTCTTCTTTGCAGTTTGTCTCTGTCTAGACTCGGGGACAGTAGAGAACACGTAAAACAAGGAGAATGTATAGTAAAAAGCACATATTTGTAGTGAGAAGTGAAATAATGTGCTTTTTACTATCTCCTCCTTGTTTTACATGTTCTCTACAGAAACTCAGCTTTCTTGCTTACTGGCGGGGGGGGGAGGGGGACTGGAGAATTGGTCAGCTTCAGGACCGTCCTGGAGCTGGTTGTTTGAGTTGTTTACCTTTCTATTTAAGGATCTTCCCTTCAGGAAACTGTTACACAGCAGGAACAGGGGAATGCTGGAAAATCAAGAGGCAAATATTCAGGAAGTTACTTGAATAGGAGGAAAAAATATGTAATTCAGTAAAGAATTTCTACCCTCTCTGAAATGTCTGAAGCATTCCCTTCCCAAACCACAACTAGCACTTTCTAGGGCTTCAACAGTAAGCTTTAAGACCATATAAACTCTGCATTGCTGTGGAATCCATTTGTGTATGTACACAAACTTTATATTTCTTCTTTTATTCTCTCCTGTTCTTCCTCCTCCTCTTCCTCTACCTCCTCCTCTTCCTCTACCTCCTCCTCTTCTCCTCTTCCTTCTTTCCTTTCTTCTTTTGAGGTTTCCATGTAATTTTTAAATTTTAATTTACTATTCATGGGTTTTATATAGCATATTTCTTATTTTTTTTTCTCACCTCCCAGCTCCTCCCAGATCTGCTCCCTCCTAACCCACCCATCTTCATGGTCTTTTTCTACCTTTAAAAGGGAAAAAGAAAGAAGAAAGAAATGTATTTAAAAGCTACTACAAAACATGAGGTCTGGTTTATTTTGACCATCCACTTGTGAGTGTGGGGCCTGCCCCAGGAGGTTGTTTTACCTAGGATCAGTCCACTGAAGAAAACAGATTGCTCCTCTCCTGGCCAAGAGGTTTTGTGTGGGACTTTGTGCCCATTTCCCCTCCTTCACACTAGGACTTAAAGTCTCTATTTCTAGTGAGCTGTTTTAGCTATGAGAAACCCAAGCTGCGGGCTGGAGAGACAGTCCAGTGGGCAAAATACGTGCTGCACAAGCAAGATACTCTGAACTTGATCCCCAGCACCCATGTGAAATCTGTAACCGCAGTGCCAAGGACAGAGACAGGCATACCCGGGGGACTCAGTGGTCAGCCAGACCAGGCACAAAAATGGAAAACTCAGCAGCGTGAGCCTGTGACATCACTTTTATTGAAAAATAATTTCCCAGCTGTGTGCAACCCCCATGTAGGCTGCACCCTCCTTCCTGTTATCTTAAACTCCATTCAGCTCCAGTTAGCAATGTAAATCCCTCCCCATCCCGAGGAACGCCCAGCAGCGGGCACTCCAATGCGGAGTCCTGAGACTCTCATTCCAGGAAATCACTTGGCTGCTGGTCTCCTGTGGCCTGCCTCCCTCAGTAAGCTTCAGCCAGACTCTCTACTGCAATAACCACCGGCCTGCTCAGGACCTCAGCCCTTCCGGGAACGTGTGGTCACCAGGCTCGTTCATCTTCCACGCCATACAGACCCTTGGCTGGGGTTTGATTTCGGTCCCTACAAATGGGTAAGGGATGGGACTAGGAAAGACAGAGTGGTTACTTCTTCTTTAGGATCTGCAGCCTACTGAGTCCCCATGAGTGCCCCAGCATCCATAATAATGGAGGACAGACGAATCCTGTGTTTGCTTAGCCATTTGTACCTACAATCTTGTTTACTTTAGAGTCCCTATCTGAGAAGACTTCCCCAGGATAATCTGGGTGGACTTCGTAACAGTCACAGCCACACAAACATTATAGCTGTCTAAGCAGCTTCTGCTCTTCATCCCTCTCCTTTATACTAATTTCCACCATTAAAGTGGATCCTGCCTCTCAGAGAGGGGGTGCCAACGCCCCAGAGAACGTGACCCATGGCTTAACAACCAGACAAGGAGTAAGCAGACAAATCACCCTCTGTTTCCTAGGGCAAAGTCTGCCTCCTCTTCGGGGAAATGCCCTGGTTCCATTTCAGTGGCTCCCCAAAGCTGCTAATTTCTGGCTGGCTAATCAGCTTTAAGAAAGGTGTTCTAAGTTGGATACTGGACCTTCCCTGAAGCAAGCAGATGGAGGAAAGGATGCATAATTTTGGTAGGTTAAAAAAAAAATTAGATTCCTGCTCCTACCCCCACAACCCCCAGTATGAGATCTAAAAGCCTGCAACATTCATCTCCCCCAATGCCGCACCTCCTTTGCCTTAATTGCGCACTTCTCTTATGGGCAAACAGTTTAGCAGTGAAAGCAGATCGCTAAAAGGTGATCTGCAGAGGCACGCCTCCCATGTTGTGAGCTCCTTATCCATTAAAGCGCAGCTTTCTATTTTGGGCTGCATTTCCATTTCCCCTCACTCCCGTCAGGCTCCATTTGACTCGTTGCTGTAGCAGCAGCCTCTGAAACTTCTGAGCCTGGCCGCCTGTCTTCCCCAGTGTCTGTAACTACTCGGCAGCTTGTGGATAATCGGCCATTACTCCTCCACAAGACTCCCGGTACATTGGAAACACAGCCTGTGGTGTCCATTTGCAGTGGGCTCCCCTAGACCAGCACACAGTTCAAAGGGTAGTGTTTGCCAGTAAACTGGTTTGTCCTACACACAGGAAGGAGGCTTCAAAACCCTACTCACAGTTACAGCAAAAGCAGCTGTCTTTCTCCTTCCTGATGGTCATTCCTGCCAGTAACCACATACGCTCTGCCTGCAACTGACTATATTTCTGTCTGGCCTAGAATGTTAGTCACTGGGGGAGGGGTAAAATAATAATGGAGAAAAAAATCTGCAGATACCTTTCTCTCATCCCCTAGCTCTCAGCACTCACGGCCTATCTCTGGAGGTGGCCCTTGCCAAGTGCTTGGCCTCTGGGAGGTATAGATTTTTCGGCCACATCTCTTGGAGCCTTGGTCAGGGAGAGGAGAAGCCTCAAGCCAACCCTTGACTACTCACTCTCCAATCCTTACACAGTTCCAATGCTATCATGCTTGCTGATCTCACACACAATGCCACAACCCTCCAGAGAGCACCATTTTATTCTAATGAACATGGACTCTGATCCCAAGGAGCAGCCCAAATGTGTTACGAATTTGTTTTTCCCCTCAGTGTGATAAGTCACCTGACTACAGCGACTTAAGGGGACAAAAAGATTTATTTTGGCTCACAGTTTAAGGAACTGTAGTCCATCATAGCAGGGAAGCAGCTGGTAGTTATGGTGGAGGGAGTTTCTCATTTCTGGGTGGATGAGGAAGTAGGGCAAGAACACCAGGATCAGGGGCTAGCTATATACCCCAAGGCCTTTCCCCAGCATCCCTAGCTAGGCTCTCTTTTCCAAGAGTTTCACAACCTCCCAAAGTGCACCACCAAGTAGGGACCTCACACTCACACACAGGAGCCTATGGAGGGCATCCCCCTTCATACCATAATGCCTAGCCTTAGCCTAGTACAGACCGCCGCACTCCGCCCCCTTTAGTGTCCCTTCACCCACCAAGCCATGCATCAAATGCGCCACCCATTACTCAGCCTTGCTTATCCAAGGAGCAGTGCCTACCTCCTTCATGGAAAAGGAGTGTCTCTGGCCCAGCCTGGCCCAGCTCCTGGTGACCTGGCAACAATGGCCTTCCAAACTTCGGATCACCTCTGCTCTTTGACTCCTCGTCCCCATCCCCTCCCTTAACCCTGAGCCCCACAGCAGTGCTAGACTATCACACTGCCCCGCCAGGTCACTCCTTACCTCAACCCAGACATTCTATTTTAAGATCACTCCCATCATCCTTCACAAGCTCACTTCGGTCTCCCCAGCCCTCCTTAGCTTTGCTCCCTTTCCCTGCTTAGAGTCCTCCGTACATCACTTCTCCATGAACACTCTTCTCTCCCTCTGAATTGTCTGGGAAGCCCAGGCCCTGTCCATCTCTCCACTGTGCTCCCACCTGTGCTGCAGCAGCTGCCCATGGCTGAGGGGCAGGGGAGGGGTCCTGAACTCATGACCATGACATGTCTCTCACGGTGGCAGCCTCAAGTGTGCCCCAGGCCACCCAGCTCTCCTTGGTTCACCCCTCCAATCCCCGAGGCAAGAATTCAGCTTTCCTCTCTTCAGACCACTAATGTAGTGGTTCTTAACCTGGGAGCCAAACCCTTTTGGGAGAGTTGAACAATCCTTCTACAGGTCAACATCCAATATCCAGGTACAGTGTTGTAATCACTCATCCACTCACTTCCTCACGTCCATCATCTAAACACTCAGCACGTCTTCTGTCCATTTCTCTACCCTGGACACTGTGGTTGCTTCAAATTTAGAATGACTATGAATGCAGTTTTTTTCTGTTTATTGACCATATTAGGGAATGGGATTACTGAGCTTTGGTAGACACTATTAAAAACTATCATATTGATTTATTCTCCCATGAGCAGTTTATAAGAATTAGTACTGGTCCAAATTTGTTTACCAACACTTAGTAATGTCAGGTTATTCCATTATAGTCACTCTATTGGGTTTATAATGGGATCCCGCTGGATATAGGGAATTAAGGAGTGTGTGTGTGTGTGTGTGTGTGTGTGTGTGTGTGTATTGTACACATGTCTCTTTGTGTTCATGCATGTGGAAGTTAGAGGTTTGTGCTGAATGTCTTTCTTGGTCACTTTTCAGACAGGGTCTCTTGTGGAACCCGTAATTCAGTGATTTGGCTAAACCAGCTGTCGAGCTGCCCCAGGAATCCCCATCCCCACCTCCTGAGTGCTGGTTCCAGGAAATCACACTCTCTTGTGGCACACACTCACCACACCAAGTTGGCTCCTTT